ATGACTGGCATCAACTTCCAGGATGAATGGACGTTTGAAGTCAGGATAGCCAAGAAGAGGAGCCGACGTTAGGAGTGACTTCAACTCGTTGAAGGAGACTTCGCAGGCTTCATTCCATGATTCAGGAAGTTGAAGCTGGGATGGGACGACTCTTTTGCCCTTCTTCTTCTTTGGACCACCAAGCAGCGCATGAAGTGGGGCGGCGACTTTGGCAAAACCTTGAACAAAGCGCCGGTAGTAGCTAGCAAGGCCTAAAAAGCTTCGAAGCTCACCCTCGTTGGTTGGTCTCTTCCACTCAGCTACAGCACGTATCTTCTCTGGATCTGGTGCAATTCCATCCGCTGATACTTCATGGCCTAAATACTTCAGCTTGTTGGCAAACCAGTGACACTTTTCTGGTTTCACCATCAGGTTGAATTGACGGAGGCGATCAAGCACCATCTGGAGTCGCTCAAGTGTCTCGTTGAACGTCTTGCCAAACACAAGAATGTCATCGAGGTAGACAATCAAGGACTGGAAATTCTTATCTCCAAAGGCCTTGTCCATGAGACGCATGAAGGTGGCAGGTGCATTGCAGAGCCCAAACGGCATTCGTGTGAACTCGTACAAGCCACCTACACCAACACGGAAGGCGGTCTTCTCGATGTCTCTCTCTTCGATGGGGATTTGGTAGAACCCATGGGCAAGGTCGAGGCTGCAGAAATACTTGGCCCCATTCAGTGCGTCGAGTGCTTCATCGATTCGTGGAAGGGGATACGCGTCCTTGTGTGTCTTCGCATTCAGGGCCCTGTAGTCGACGCACATTCTGAGTTTCCCATTGCTTTTACGGACAAGGACGACTGGTGAGGCATATGGGCTTGAAGACTCTCGTATGACGCCACGGTCTAGGGACGCCTGAATGTGGTCTCTAACTTCTGGCCATAAGTGTGGGGGAATACGTCTGTGGGGCACCTTGACAGGTATATCATCAGTAGTGATGATCCGATGCTCTATCTTACTGCAGAAACCGATGTCATCTTCATCTTTGCTGAAGACATCACTGTATCTAGAAATCAGTCCTCTCAAACTGCAGCGCTGCTCGTCGCTGATGTCCTCACCGATCGTCAACCGCGTCATCAGATCGGATACAAGATCATCACTCTCAGGGGTTTGATGGGCAGAAACCTCACAGTCGGATGCAACTGTTCGAGGGCAGGGGTACTCAGAGAATTCACGAGAGAGTACTGCAACTGGGGTCTTCGGCTGAAGGTACAAGTCACTGTCACTGAAATTAGCAACTTGAACGGGGACTCTGCCGGCCTTATCAACACTGACAAGGGTTGGTGCAATCATCAGACCTTTCGGAAGGTGCTTCGTGTGCACATCAAGTTCTTCCACCATTGCTTGGTAGACATCATTGCTAGGCCTGACAGAGCACTGTACAACATGCAGAGACATCGCTGGTACTAGAATCGGCTTCTGACCAGAAATGCGGACATTCCCGGGTTTGTCTAATTGATGGGAGGCACTCCGTATCTCCTCATAGAGAGCTAGGACATTAGCCCACTCGGTTCCACCGGAACCGTCTTCCAGGCTGCGCAGGAATCCGGGTCCGATTGTCTTTTGCAGTGCGTCTCTCATGTCTCTGAAAATGTTCGAGCCGATGACCCCAGGCACTTCTTGTTTCCTTTCAGACATTGCTGTGCCAACTGGGTCCTTCACCACCAGGAAACCTACTTTGTCAAACGTTTGTCCCAATGCCTGAAGTGACAGCTCAATGTAACCCAGATAGGGGATTGCAGCACCCTGGGCACCAGAGATGTGGAGTAAGTCGCGGATATCAACCAACTCTTCCGTGGAGAAGTTCTCTCTAAAGCAGGATTCGGTTAGTGTGGATACCTGTGCTCCGGTGTCAAGTAGGCATATCACCTTGGTGCCTCCAAGCTTTACTTGTGCAACTGGGCAGTCCCCTACTATTTTCTGGATAATCGAGCCTCTGTCTTGCAAAACTTGGTGGCCTGTCGTTTGGCTCACAATGGCAGGCCGACCTAGTTTAATGGCTGTTGGAAGGAAGGATGCTGGGGAACAAACTGCGGCTGGGTAGACTGCTGGGGAACGGACTGCTCTGGAGTAAACTGTTGAGCACGGGGGTTGAACATACTTCGTTGGGCTTGCTCTGAAGGAGATCCATTACCACGTGGGCGGTGAGGGCAGTTACGCTTCAAATG